TTACTACTCAGCAGTCGCTGGAAACTGCAGACTTGAAAACTATTCACTGTCACGACAAACGGCATCATCAGTAAAAAGCAGGGCTAGGGTCGAAAGCAGGAGCCCACGTGCTTGCACACACATACACACGGGTAAGTGACGAAACAGATAAGTCAGAACAGTGGCAAAGGGCCTTCCTGGTGGTGCAAAGGGTGAAGACTCAGCACCGTCGAGCTATCTGCAGCCCCTGTGACGAGTTCCAGCCCCGGCCAGGGAGTGACCCCCAGGGCGCAGCAGACCTCTCCTGCCGCCCCGCTGCTCCCCCCAGCATGTGTGTGGGTAGATCCCCCACTCTGTTCCTGGGGATGCTCTCACCGCCCGCACCTCTGGCCTGTGCCCCAGTTCTTGTATGCGTCAATAATTAAATCTTTAAAAAAAACAAACAAAACTTCATCAGCTGGCTCTGGGTAAGATTCTAGTGGGTGTCGCTCTCTGGGTTCTCCGTGCCTCTGGGCATCATGGTGTAGAATCAGGGGAGACCCTTCAGGCACACTCGGCCCCAGCCCCTTCTGGCGTCCTGCGTCCACCGTACACAGCAGCCCCCGAGCCCTGAAGCGGCTGCCCGCACCCAGCTCACCTCCCTCAGGGTGGTCAGCGTCCTCGTGTGCATGGTGACCTGCTTGGTGAGGTCCCTGTTGTCCTTCTCCAGCTCCTTCAGCTTGCTGGCCGCGTCCCTGCAGCGGGCCAGCTCTTTGTCCAGGGCGCGGCTCTCCTTCTCGGCGGCCGACAGCTTGGCCGTGCTGTCGTCCAGGACGGCGTCCTTGAGCTCCACTTGCTGCCAGAGGCGCTTGGTCTCCTTCTCCAGCAGCTTCTTGTCCTTCTCCAGCTGGGCGACCTCCTGCTCCAGCGCCTTCCTGTCCTTCTCCGACCTCTCCAGCTGCTTGGTGGACAGCCGGAGGGCCTCCAGGTCGCGCTGCAGGGCCTGGTTCTCGGCCCCCAGCTGCCCCAGCTCCCGCTCCAGGGCCTGCACCTTCTGGCCCCTGCTCTCCAGGCTTTGCTGCAGTCGGAGGTTGTCGGCGCTCACGCTCTGGTAGCTGAGCTCCAGGCGCTCCGACTTCTTGCTCAGCGCCTTCAGCAGCTCCACGTTCTTCCTCAGCTCCTCCTTCTCCTGCTCCAGCTCCTGGTTCTCCCGCTCCATCTGCGCCACCTTGGCGCCAGTGAAGCGCATGGCCTCCACCGTCCTGCGCAGCTCCCGGTTCTCCTCGTCCAGCTGCCTGTTGTCACGCTCCAGGCCCTCGAGCCGCACCGACACATTCTGGAGGGTGTCCAGGGACTTGCGCAGCTGACGGTTCTCCAGCTCCAGGCCCCGGCTCTCGCCCTCCAGGGCGTCCGCCTTCTCGGCGGCCGTGGTCAGGGAGGCCACCTTCTTGGTCAGCTCGTCGTTCTCCTTCTCCAGCCGGTGCAGCTCCTTCTCCAGCGCCTCCACCCGCTCCACCTTCTCCTTCACCTGCTCCAGGTCCTTCTGCAGCTGCTGCTTCTCGAACTCCAGCTTGCTGAGCTGGCTGCTGGTCTCCGTGACCGTCTGGTGGAGAACCTTGTTCTCCTTCTCGATGTCTCTCACGCGGGCCTCACTGCTGATGTGTGACCTCTCCCGCAGGGACCACACTGTTTGGTTGAGATGATCCTTTTCTTGCTCTAGGTCCTTGATCTGCAGGAAGACACAGCAGAACGACATGGACTGGGCGCACGTTTCAGGAATTTGGATCCAAGTGGGGACTAAAGCGTAGGCCTGAGGGACCATCCACGGTGCACCCCCAAACTGCACCTGCGTGGCCCAGAGGCCGCAGGACAACAGGGCGTGCAGGCAGTCACTCCTTAAACTGCTCGAGGTCAAAATATCCCCAGAGCAGCAGGATGATGGACAAGCAGGTGGCTCAGAGAACCCCACCCCCACACACACTGGCTGCTTCTGGTGCTCCTGGGCTCAGCATGAGGGTCAGCTCTGCAGGGACACCCCCCACCCCCACAACTTGCCATGCCAAGTAGAATTCTCTCCCTGGCACCACGTTTAATCCCTCAAAGCTTACACTTGAAACCACTGCACTCTCAGTCACCTGTCAGCCCCGTCCACATGGGGGCAGGGGTGGTATTCTGCTCAGCCTCCCAGGTCCCACTGAGGAAGCCGACACACTCAAAGGCTGGGGGCACCGGCCTCCCTCGAGGCCAGGGGTGGTCTGCACCGGGTCTGGCTGAAGGCCAGTCCTGCCAAGTTGGCAAACTGCTGGCAAAGTGCTAGGGAGGCCTCGCTCCCCCCTTCACCAGACACCTACGTCCTGCCCTCTCATGGGGATGTGCGGCAGAGCAGGAAGCGAGCAGCCTGGCTCCTGGATGGTGCCACGGAGCCACAGCCCGGCAAGGCGCCGACGGACCCTGGGCTCCGCGCACAGTGGAGCACGGTCTGGGGCATGGCCGGGGCCCGCGTGCCTCTCCAGGTGTTCAGACCTGGATCACTCTGCCGTGTGCGGGCTGCTCTGGGCCTTGCAGGGTGGTCAGCAGGTCCCTGGCCTCCACCCACCACCTGCCAGGACCTCTGCTCTCGCTTCTCCTCCAGGCTGTGTCAACCAAACACGCCACTGTCTCTGGGAGGCAACTGCGCCCCGCCCCGCACGCTGAGTGAGGGGCTCGGTACCCACGCGCCTCGGATACATCAGCAGGGTGGTTGCAGGCCCGGCCTCTCCCGGGAGAGGACCCAGGGGCCGCTGCAGGCGCCTACCTGTCTCGCTCTGTCAGCCTTCAGCGTCTCCATGTCACCCTGCAGCTGCTCTTTCTCTCTGATCAGCTCCTCGCTGAGGGTCTCCAAGTCCTGGTTGCTCTGCTTCTCTCTCTCGAGCTGGCTCTGTAGCTTCTCAATCTGCAGAGTCCAAGTCCCATACAGTCAGTTTCACAAAGTGGATGGTGTTCTGACCAACCAAAGCCCGTCAGCCCCACAGGGAACCCCAACAGGTCTCCTCTCTAGGAGAAGCGGCTCGGCCTTACTCTGCTGTGACCTTCCTCACCCTCCCCACCCGTCCTCAGCCTCTCTCCTAGCCCACCTACCTCTCCTCACTCTCCGCTCCCAGGAGCTCAAGTCTCCGTCTCAGGCCCTGTCCACTGTCCGAAGTGTCAGACCACACACTCAGGGTGAGGGAGTGGGGGTGGCCCTGGCCACTGCTGGACGCCCGCGGGGACTTCCGTAAGACCTCACGCTCGCCCACCTCCTGACCGGCTGCTCCTGGACGCTCCCATTCACCCAGCAGTTCAGGACGGGCACCTGACACTTCTCTCCTCACCAGCCCCTCCCCTGTCCCGACCCAGGCCGCTCCCGCCCACGCCCCCACTGCTGCCCAGGCCAGACTGCCCTGCCAGGCCCCCACCAACACCAGGCTCCTCTGTGGCAACCACCAGCATCTGATCTTCCTAAGACGCAGCCCACCTTGCTGGGAGTTCTCACCAGGAACTTGGGAGTGCAGGTTCTGGCGGGAGAGGGGGAGGGCAGGACCTGCCATGAGGGTCCTGCGGACCCTCCCTGCCATCCCCGACACCTCGGTGTAGGGGACGGAGGTGCTGACTGGTGTCCGAGGGCCATGGCCTGATGTGGCCTTCCCTACCACGATGTGACCACGAGCACATTCCACACCCAACGTGGCGACGGCAGTCTGGTGTTTCAGGTTTCTGTCGGTGTGAAATCTCAACGTGTAGCCAGTGGCTGCATGGCCTCAGCTGGCCTGCATGCCAGAAGCACTGCCCCCGCCCCGCACCCCACTTCCAGCAGGCCCAGGAATCTGTATTTTGGTTACTCCTAAGTGACCCTGGTGCTACTGGCTCAGGACAACTCCAAAGAGCTGGATCGCAAAGATGAAAGATAGGGCCCTCCCTGGTGGCGCAGCGGGTTAAAGCACTGCACTAAGCCAAAGCCACTTCCGCATGAGTTCAATCCCCGCCTGCCCCAGAGGTGACCACACGGCGCGGCAGACCTCTCCTGACCCGCCCGCTGCTCCCCTCAGCAGTGGACTTCGTCGATCCTTCCGCATGAGTTCAATCCCCGCCTGCCCCAGAGGTGACCACACGGCGCGGCAGACCTCTCCTGACCCGCCCGCTGCTCCCCTCAGCAGTGGACTTCGTCGATCTGCCTGTTCTGCTCCCCACTCTGTCTCTGGTGAAGCCTCTCACCGCCCCTGGACCTCTGGCCTATACCCCTGTACCCCAGTTCTGTATGGGGCAGGTGACCAAATGGTGTGGCAGACCCTTCCTGACCCACCCGCTGCTCCCCTCAGCAGTGTACTCCGTCGATCTGCCGGTTCTGATCCCCACTCTGTCTCCGGTGAAGCCTCTCACCGCCCCTGGACCTCTGGCCTATACCCCTGTACCCCAGTTCTGTATGAATAAATAAATCTTAAAAATAAATAAATAAGATGAAAGATCAGGTGGTCCTCAAGGCTTTGTAAGACCCCGGGGCTCAGGTTGCCACTTTGATGCTTTGGAGAGGCAGGACCTGGACGCCCAGGGATCCCAGCCTGCACCCAGAATGGGGTGTCTGCTTGGATTTGGCCAGTGTGGCATGGAGTCTTTGCCCTGACAGGGTGACAGCTCCTGGAAGGAAGGCCTGCACTCCAGGCCCTCAACTTCTGGGGTGGGGGACACCCCACAGTCCTGCCCCACAGGGCTGAGAGCCCTCATCAACCTCCAGGGAAGCAGGAGGCAAGCTTCTTCCCCCACCAGTGGGGAGAGCTGGCCTGGCGGGGCTCATCCTTGGATCCTTAACCACACTGTGCCCCCAGCTGACTCGGGGACCCCAGGGTGGGTGAGCCTCATCCATACAGGGCCAGATGAGAAAATGCTGCGTGTCTGGGTCTTTCTCCTTTTCCTCCTCCCACTGCCCAGTCCTCCGTGGGCACCGGGATCTTGTCGGTGGGCCCATGCCCACGAGCTGGCGGTGAGACTCCAAGGCCCAAGTCCTCACTGCGAGGATGGAGGGGAGCTGGGAGACCCAGGGGCGGTGACCCCTAGCCAGGTCGGCGCCTGCCACGTGCCCCGACCTGTCCCCTGGCCAGGCTCACCCCACTCTGACTGTTAGTTCTGTGTTCTTGTGCCCGTCTCTCCCGGGGTGAGGAATGCGATTCCAGCCTTCTCGTTGCTGATGGCTGCAGCTTCCAGTCTGAAGACGTGACTTCCCACATCCCGCCCACGCTGGACGCAGACACCCATCTTTCCCCTTTTGTGGCTCCTGTGCCATCGAATTGGCTCATCCCTGAGGAGCTCGGTGCCCTGGGCCGACCTCTCCAGGCAATGGCGGCCCTCACAGCACTTCCCTCCGAGCCTGGCTGCGGGCTCCTGGGCGCGGCTCTGGGCCGGGTGGGTGGTGCCAGAGCCCTGTCCCTGGGCTGCTCTTCATCCTCACAACCTCCCCCAAAGGCTGCTCCTCTTGTGAAGATAAGGCTTCTTTACTCCTATCAGGGAATAAACTCTTATAACAATCAGCACCAAGGTGCAGGCTCAGGAGGGAGGCGCCTCTGAGGCCCATGGAGCGGTCTCCAGCTAGGGGAGACAGTAACTTTGGACGACTGTGGTCTCCTGAGGTCTCAGAGCTGACTGGACTGAGCTTGGGGTGAGGCTAGAGTCAGGCTGGCGCAGGGGCCAGGGGTCTCCCCATGCCCTCACACCCTGGCTGACCCCGGTTCCTCCTTCCCAGAACTCACCCCACCATGGCTATGTCACCTGACTTGTCCCAAGGCGGTGTTTGTCCCCGCTCCAGGAAAGTCATGGGGGGAGGGGGTCTGTGTCAGTGTGGGGTTCCGCTAGGCCTGGGCGTCCCCTAGTGACTAAGCAGAGGAGGGCAGGTTAGCTGAGGATGGAGAAAGGGACTCAACATGAGCTGAGCTGGGTAGTGAGGTGCTCACCCAGCCAGTGAGGGGAAGCACCCCTTACATGCCCAGCTCAGTGGGGGACCTGCTTGCTGTCAGGGCAGACTGCAGACAGACCCAGGGCAGGCTAAGCAGGACAGGGAGAGGCCTTTCTGCCTATCCTCCCTGGCACCAGGCTCTGGACACGGGACGGCTCCGGTCTGGGGGGAGAGATGCCACCTTCTACCAAGCCCTGGCCACCCCAGTGCTGCAGCGGGCATGGGCTAGAACCCCACAGGAACCACTCCAGAGAGGGAGGGAGGGCTGGGGCCTCGAGAAGAGGTCAGAGGAGGTATTCGGGTTGGCAGCACCCACTGCCACTCCCGTGTGTGCAGGGAGTGGGGGCAGAGCAGACAGGGCGAGGCGTCAGCCATCACTTCAGAGGCCGCGGGAGCCGAGCCAGCACCATGACATCACAGGCTCCGCGGCAGACCCACGGGGACGCACAAGCCAGAGGTTCTCGTCTCTCTGAAGGTCAACCCTGTTTTATCTTGGCGGCGGCTGGAGGGCCATGCATGCAGACATTTCCTATGCTGGGCTCACAGGCACAGAACAAACCCCGATGGGACAAGCCCAGAGGTGCTTTCCCCATGCCACTCTGCATCAACAAGGGCCTGGATGGGGTGGGCCCTGCTGTCCCTCCAAGGACGGACAGAGCAGCTGGCTGCTGAAATGCTGCGAGGCGTGCAATGCTTCAAAGGAATCAAGAGAGCGAGTCACGGGGCCGAGCGGTCTCTCAGGGACCTGAGACCATTTTGCAAGGGGGGAGGGGGCGCGGGGAGGGCAGCTCCAGTGTCCCCAGAGGTAGAGCTGGGCCAGCTCTCCTGCCGCCAGGGCAGCCACAGCCAACCACGCCGGCAGGACGCACCAGCAGGTCAGGACAGACCGAAGGCCCCCAAGCTCCTGGCCTGCAGGGCGCCGGCCAGCAAGAGTGCACTGCCCGCCCGCAGCGGCCAGGTTTTGAGAGCCACGGACAGCCTCAGTGCAGTGTGGCCAGGGGCGCTGTGCCCAGCCTGGAGCCAGCCCGGTCACGGAGGCAACTGCCACTCTCAATGGCCCCTCTCGGCCTGAGCCCACACCCCCCTTGTGAACAGGGAACTCTAGGAAGAAGACGGGTCTCGGGGTCTGGGCCGTCTGTTCTCCCGGGGGGCCGGGCTCCACTGTGCCTCCAGAGACGCGGCAGCTGCCTCTATGCCAGCAGCAGCCCCCCACGAGCCGTGAGAGGAGGGCGCCAACCGCCCTTGTTTCACCACCAGGTGCCTACGCGGCCGCGAGTGGCCACACACAGTCTTGCTCTGTCGGCCCCCGGCTGCACCTTCTGCCTCCGACACACACTGCTCTTCCCTTAAGTAAGTGACTCATAAAACCCTCAACACCGGC